AAGAAATGGAAGCAACCTAAGTGTCCATCAGTAGATGAATGGATAAAGATGTGGTACATATACACAATGGAATATTATTCAGCCATAAGAAGAAAATAAATCCTATCATTTGCAACAACATGGATGGAGCTAGAGGGTATTATGCTCAGTGAAATAAGCCAGTCAGAGAAACACAAGTATCAAATGATTTCACTCATCTGTGGAGTATAAGAACAAAGAAAAAACAGAAGGAACAAACAGCAGCAGACTCACAGAACCCAAGAATGGACTAATAGTTACCAAAGGGTAAGGGACTGGGGAGGATGGGTGGGAAGGGAGGGATAAGGGGGAAAAAGGGGCATTATGATGAGCAGACATAATGTGAAGGTGGGGGCCATGAGGAGAGCTGTACAACACAGAGAAGACAAGTAGTGATTCTATAGCATCATACTACACTGATGGACAGTGACTATAATGGGGTATGTGGTGGGGACTTGATGATGAGGGGCATCTAGTAACCATAATGTTGCTCATGTAATTGTAGATTAATGATACCAAAAAAACACGATCATTTCAGTCACAGGAATGGAAGTGTAGCATAGGGAATTCAGCCAATAATACTGTAGTATCTTTGTATGGTGACGGACAGCAGCTATACTTACTGTGGTATTTCTAACTGTGTATTATTGAATCACTATGTTGTACATCTGAAACCAATATAGTATTCTGTATCAACTATATTTTAATAATTATAAAAAATTATTTGAAACTAATTTAAGAAATTACTAAATGGAAGGAATGTAAAAATAAAGAAAAGTGAACCTAAGATTCATTTGTGACAATTGACTGTTTATAACAGTAATGATTAATTGGATAGTTCAAAAGGCAAAGAAATATATCAGACAGGAATGGCCTATTAGAGTCTTCTATTGATTACCTTTAGACTTACCTCAGACTGCTAGAGGCAGTCACCAAAATACAAATAAAAAATTTAATTTCCAAACAATGGGACTCTCCCAGCACACAATTAGGAAATAATAGAAATATCTTGAGTCCCTCCCCCAGTAAACATAAAAGCTATGTACATACAAATACTGACCTGAAGCCAGACGCATGAAAACCAAGATACACCCACTTCAAGCTCAACAAAGCAGAAAAAGTATTTCATCAAATTTAGTACCCCTTCATGAATAAAATGGGCTTCCTTGGCATTCATAAACTTTGAGAACTGAGCTATATATATATAGGGCAGACATTGCCTCAAGTTCCAGACTGGCCTCTATACAGTACACACTGGCACTACAGAGGCTTAAAAAACTGAACTGACATTGGAACCAAAACCTAGAGGCAGCTGGTCAAAACTTGCATCCTGGACACAACCAGGTTGACAGCCGGCTTAAAACAATATCAAAAATTCTTCATAGGATTTAAACAAAACTTGAGAGTCTGATATCATAATATTAAAGATGTCCAAAATTACTTGGTATACAACAAAGCTGGAATGATCAACTTGCATGGGAAAAGACTTCAGATGCTATCTCCTAGATGACACGAATATTGGAATTACATGACAAAGGTTTTTTTTTAATTTTTTAATTTTGATATCATTAATGTATAATTACTTGAACATTATGGTTACTAGACTCCCCCCATTATCATGTCCCCCCCACATAACCCATTACACTCACTGTCATCAGCATAGTAAGATGCTATAGAATCATTACTTGTCTTCTCTGTATATACTGCCTTTCCCGTGTCCTGCCCCCTACATTATGTGTGCTAATCGTAATGCCCCATTTTCCCCCTTATTCCTCCCTTCCTACCCATCCTCCCCAGTCCCTTTCCCCTTGGTAACTGTTAGTCCATTCTTGTGTTCTGTGAGTACATGACAAAGATTTTAATTCTGTTTAAATGAATGGAAAGATAGGAACTCTCAGCAAAAACCAAATGGAAATTTTGGAGCTAAGAAGTACAGTAACAAATAGAACCTCACTGGATGTGTTTAATAGAAGAAATGAGATAAGGAATTAGTTTAATGGAGATTCTCCAATCTGAACAATAGAGATTGGAAAAATTAGTTCTCAGGGACTTGGAAATCAATAGCAAAAGATCTAATATTTGTGTCACTACAGTTGGGAGAGAAGTATGTTGCAGAGAAAATATTTGAAGAAGTAATGGCTGAAATGTTCCCAAATTTGGTGAAACCTACAGATTAAGAAATCTCAGCAAACCCTAAACAGGATAAGTGCAGAGAAATCCCTGCCCAGATAGATCATAAACTGCTGAAAACTAAAGACAAAAATCTTGTGAGCAGCCAGAGAAAAATGACACATTATTTTCAAGGGAACAATGTGAATCACTACAAATTTCTTATCAAAAACCAAGAAGGCTAAAAGGAAATGAAATAGGATTTTTTAAGTGCTGGAAAAAAAAAACTGTCAATTCAGAATTCTGTGTCTGTTGAAAAAGTCCCTCAGAAATGGAGGGAAAATAAATATTATCTATCTAGGTGAAGGAAAACCCAGAGAAGTCACTGACAGCAAGCAGCCCTGCTTTAAACTGCTAAGACAGGAGATCTGGAAAGTTAGGAATGAAGGCACAACAGTAGCAAGGTCTAGGCAAATAGAATGGACTATTCTTGTCTTACTGAATTCCTTAAACTATATTTGATGGTTGAAAAAAATGATATTTTTCTGGTGGGGTTTTCAGTTTATAGAGATGTAATATATGAGACAACTGCAAGGGGGGAAGATAAAGAGATTTAATGTGGTATGGTTTCCAAGGTTCACTTAAAGTGGTAAAATAGTAATTCTAAGTAGACTAGGTGTCTGTAACACCTAGAACAACTACAAAAAATACTGTACAAAGATTTAGTGAAATATGCAATATAAAAAATAAAATGAATTCTGAAAAATCTTCACATAGTCAACGTAATGCATCAGAATTTTTTTTAAAAATGGTATTAGATCAGTAACAATAATTTCATTAATAAGACATGGTTTAAACTAATTAAAAGATTATAAAACTATAGACCAGTATTCATCATGAATGTAGTACAAAGATTTAGTGAAATATGCAATATAAAAAATAAAATGAATTCTGAAAAATCTTCACATAGTCAACGTAATGCATCAGAATTTTTTTTAAAAATGGTATTAGATCAGTAACAATAATTTCATTAATAAGACATGGTTTAAACTAATTAAAAGATTATAAAACTATAGACCAGTATTCATCATGAATGTTAGACACAAAAGTCCTCCAGAAAATACTGGCAAACAGAATCTAACATATAAAAAGCATACACCATAATCAAGTAGGATTTATGCCAGAATGCAAGATTGGTTTAAGTCAATTAATGTAATACAACCATCTCAACAGACACAGAGAAAGCATTTAACAAAATCCAATACCCTTTAGTGATAAAAATGCTCATCTAATAGAAGGAAGCTTCCTCCACCTGATAGCTATCATACTTAATTTAAGAAAAAACTTTTGATCTTTTTAAATGAAGGTCACTGACATTATTTAGAAAATGAATAGTACCTTATTAATTAATGAAATACTTTACAACGGAGTCATCTCTGCAGGGGAAGAGACATTTTATACTTCTACAAGGGCCTTGTACTTTGAAAATATGTTCAGTGTGTCTTTTCAAGTAGGCATAAACTAAAATATAACTAACTGCAGTACATAATTACAATAGTGTGTGCTTAACCAAAGGATTCCTTGACACACCAGTTCAGGTATCTAGTAGATTATAGTACTTTTAACCTGAGATTGAAAAAGGTTGAACAATTTCTTTTTCTAAAGCTATTCTCATTACCAGCATTAAGAGTTCTATTTTTCACAGAAAAATTTTGAAAGACCTATCTTCTGAAGATACGCGGGGCAGAAAAGGAAACGGAGAAAACCCTGGAGTTTCTGCTGTCACGTCTATGTCTGTTCCAACTTCCATCTACCAGACTAGCACCGGACAGTACAGTATGTATAGGAATAAATTTCCACATGACAGATACACAAAAACTAACCTTCCCATGTAAAGAAGTGGTGTGCAGAAAGACTGTCATGCTTCAAAAGTGATGATTATTAAAGGATAACATTTTGAGCCAAAAGTAATACAGAGTACATTTTTCAGCATTATTTCATATACTCTTTACAACTTTGGGAAGTGTAGGCAGTTATCACTTTGTGAGGGAACTCAGGCTTAGAGAATTAGACAGTGTCCCTAAAGTGACAGAGCTTGTTAATGATACACTTTGGAGTTTTGACAAGTGTGAAATACACGTCCCATTTGACTACCTCCCACCATCTCCAGTCACTACCACCACGTTGGTTTACACTTTAGCCTGAACTACTATAGTAGGTCATCCTGCTTCCATTCTGGCTCTCATACTTTTACATACCTCAGTTGGATTGATTTAAAATGTCAATTCAATCACGTCACTCTTGCTCAGAATCCTCCTGTGACTTTGCATCACACTTAGAGTAAATCCTGCAAGGCATTACATTCAGGATCTGGCCTTGCCCACCTCACTGAGTCCATCTCCTGCCACTCGATGGCATTCTGACACTTTCTTGCTGTTGCTCAGACACATGAAGCTCTGCCTGATTTTTGTAGTTGTCATCCCTCCTGCCTGGCACATTCTTCTCCCATCCTCACCTCTGCCCTGCTTAAGTGTCACCTCCTCAAAGAGACCACTCTTTATAATTATGGGTGAGCTTGTTTCGTTTTTAAGGAATGTAAGTTCCTTGAGGGAAAGAACTTTGCAGCTGTTCCCTTGATATATAGAACCTGACACAGAGTAGGCTTTCTGATTTAAAGAATATATATAGAATACCTCTGAGGAGACAAAAAAACTGGGACTGGTTGTAAGGACAGAAAGGAGGCAGTTAAGCAAAACTTTTTTTTTTTAACGTACACATGTATTACTGTTTGCTGAGGCAACATATTCACAAGTTAAAAATTATGACATACTAATATGACTTACTAAAACCACTAAATTATGAAAAGTACATAGAAACTCAGACAAATATTGTATATATTATAATTGAGAAAAGTACAGTACAAACTAGTATTTAGGGCAGCACTGAGTAGAACTTCCCTGATGATGGAAATGTCCTATATTTTCATTGTCCAACAAATAGCTGCTAAGTGTGAGTGTTGAGCACTGAAATTGACTGGTATGAGTAAAGAACTGAATTTTTTATTTGGTTTAATTTTAGTTAAATAGCTACATGTGACTACCATATTGGACAGTGCATATTTATATTCAGGTAAATATACATGTTAAGAATAGGAAGACAGGTTGAAAAAATGGAAACAATTCTGTATTATAACATATTTAACATCAAAAGATGTATACCTATACATATGTGTGTATAGATACACATATTTTGATATGCATTTAATATGTCAGTCTCCTAGGAGCATAGAAAAGGATTAGGAAGGATGTGTACCAAAAGTAACGGTTACCTCAGGATGAGAGTGACAGGTGGACAATGGAAGAAATAGGGATACGTAATGGGACTTTTTATATATTTACATTTTCAGGGAAGGAGATTGAAAGCAATTGCTAATGTAAATTCAATACAAATCTCTGCATCTAGAAAGTTTTAATGTCTTGTCTTCTAAGTCAAAAAGTATGTGGGAATATTTATGGCAGTGAGGGAGCATAACTGGGAACTTCTGAAAAAAATTTTCAGTTAAAACACAGAGAGAAGTGTATTTTGGCTTCCTGGTAGCCAAAGCATTAAAGGGGGGAAAAGTGTTGCATAATTACAATGTGAAAAGAGGATACAGGCATTAGATTCTTAAGGGGATTTATTATGTGGAAATTACATATTGCTAAAAGTTTTCTATTTGGCTATGCTGATGGGTGTTTCATTTAAGGTTTGAGGAGAAAGCATTAACCTAAATATAATTCAGTGAAAAGTGCTTGTGGGGAGCTTACATTTAAGAGGTGTTACTGCTAGGGAGTGGAGGTAAGAAACAATATGAAGAATTATTTTTTCATTATGCAAACTTTATCTGATTTGGATTTTTTCCCCATAGGCACACTTACATACTCAGTGCTTCTTTTGAATAAAAATTACAAACTGTGTTAACGTTTCCTTCTACTTATTTTTCCTTTAAAAGTTAGCCCTCAGTACCTTCTTCTAATGCCCCAGAACTGCTGTAACAGTGTTAGCAATTAGCATGGAGTGCTACATGGAGTCCAAAATGTTTTGACCAGTTACGTTGTACAATATGAGACCAAGTGAAGATGAGCACACCTGAACCATAAACATTTTATAAAGAAATGCCATTTTCTTTCTTTTATGTATAGCTCACCCAAAGTAGTCAATAGTTACCAAGTGGGACTGCATTCAAACCTGCTTTAACAAGTAGTGCTTGTTTCTTTCACCAGTCCTTTGCAATTAGTATATTGCATAGCCTCACAATAACTATGTTGTCTCCTTCATTAAAGTTGCCATTGCCCCAAATGGAGCCTTACAGCTGGCCAGTCCAGGCACAGATGGAGTACAGGGACTTCAGACATTAAGCATGACAAATTCGGGCAGTACTCAGCAAGGCACAACAATTCTCCAGTATGCACAGACCTCTGATGGACAGCAAATACTTGTGCCCAGCAACCAGGTGGTTGTACAGAGTAAGTATGTTTGTCTATTGGAAGCATCCCAAAGTCATTTCAAAAGCACTTAGGAATTAACTCATTCTTTTGACCACACAGCTGCATCAGGAGATATGCAGACATATCAGATCCGTACCACACCTTCAGCTACTTCACTGCCACAAACTGTGGTGATGACATCTCCTGTGACTCTTACATCTCAGACAACTAAGACAGATGACCCCCAATTGAAAAGAGAAATAAGATTGATGAAAAACAGGTAGGTAGAATTATCCTACCAGAATGGGTGATGTTTTGCTAATTTCAAAACATAACCAGATGTTAGTTGGAATTCTATATTAGAAAGAAGGAGGATTATGTTAGCTTTATTTTACTGAGTGTTAGATTGTCTAGTTAGTCCCATTCTTGCTACTCATCATTGATTAGAGCAAGAAGAGGAAAGAATTAGTGGGAATGTGCATAATACCTAGCATACTTGGAACTAATATAGAAATGCTTTTAAAAACTAGTTTTGATCATGAAAGTACAGCAGTGATTTAACTCCCAGAAACATTTACTTTCATTTTAAACACTGATATATGCTTTCTGTGTTTATTAGGTATTAAAAAAACCACTGGTTCCTTGAGAAAAAAAGAATATAATGGATAGCCTTCTTCAATGTGTTCAAGATTTTTTTTAAAGATACTAATAAACTATACTAAGAACAAAAAAGGGTGTAATTAGCCAGATACAAATTTTTTAAATTACCATAGGATTCTATTTTTGGTTACTCAGCTATAAATTATAAAATTAGGATAAAAGGATGATTTTCTAGAGCAATAAAAATTGTCATGAAAGGACCATATTCAAGATAAAGTATTCCTTTACTAAAAACTAAGAGCAAGCATCATTGTAAATGAACTTGGTAACAATGCAGGGACTGTCGTTTGGAAGTGCCAACAAATGCACTAAGTTAAGGAAATGAAGTACAAGAATGATACTTCTTTGCTAATGATGTGATTATGTACCTAGAAAACCCAATAGACTTTAAAAATTACTAGAATGAGACTTCTCTTTCTGACAGTGTGACCTCAGCTACATTTTTTAAAAGCTTGATGAAATAGAAAAACCACCCTTTTAAATGATTGGATGAGCCTACAGAAAAGAGAAATCTGTTAGATTAGGAATCCCAGAAGTCAAGACCCAAAAAGTACTACGTCTGTAAACTGAGAATTGTTTAAAAATGGGTCCAAGTCCATACTGCTCCTAATTATCTCGAAGAAAGCTAGGCTTCTCAACATAGGCTTTAGTGAGTTCCTATACATTGAGTTTTAACAAATACAAGTTGAAAAATCAGACTACCCAAGGATTTAGGTCTCCATCATGATATAAATCTTTTGAGGTGTGAATAATAATACATACGTATTTTTTGAGATGATGAAACTGAGGCCTAGAAAGGTTATTTGCCCATGGTTGTACTGCTTAGTAAGTGGTAGAGGTAGGATTTAAACTTGGGCTATATCCAGGTTCCAGAATCTTAGATAATACTACATTACACATCAGGAACAAGAGTTAGCAGAAAGGGCAGAGAACAAGTTTTGTAAAGTCTCCAGTTATTTAATGAAGAAAGGGAAAGAAGTATGTCTGCTACATGTAAAGAAAAAGATGTCACTGACATTCAACAGATAGATTCATCTGCCTAGAATATCCAGGGAATCATCTGGAAGATATTTATTTAAAAGCTTGAAGAAGAACCAGTATAAAACAGAAAAAAAGAATAAAAGGATTTAGATGAAAGAAGTAAACTTATTACTATTTTTTGTATGATTGCCTTGGGGAAAAAAACAAATGAACTTACAGAAAAATTATTAGAAGTAATGATTTTAAAAGGTTACTACATACAAAGTCAGTTTTCAAAAATCAACAATTTCTTTACATCAGCAATAAAGATTTTGGTAATAGTTATAAAAAAGATAGCATTTATGTTACCAATGAATAAAATAACTGAGAAAGCTAAAAAAATGGGACTTTTATGGAAAATACTATAAAATGTTTAAAAGACATTAAGGAAGATCTAAATAAGTGGAGAAATGCACTACATATACAGATACAGAAACTCAGTATTATAAAGATGACTATTTTCCTCTCAACTGATCCAAACAGGTTGCTTGAAGAGCTGATAAGTTGATACTAAAATATATAGAAGAGTAAAGGGCTAAGAACAGCTAAAATATTCCAGACGTAAGGGTAACATGAGGAGATACCAAGTTTAATTTAAATCTGTGTTAATTAAAATAGTGTGATACTGGCATTGAGATAAATGAAATAAACCAGTGAAGTAGAGTACAGAGCTCAGAAACAGATCCATGACTACGTGAAACCTTGATATGACAGGAAAGATTATTGGGTGAATGAGGGACTCCTCAATAAATGGTGCTAGGATAATAATACATGAACAAATATTTTCTCTCTTCCTCCCACCATACATAAAAATCATTCCAGATGGATTAAAAACACAAATGTAGAAGATGAAATTTTTTAACTTTAAGGTGAAAATACGTAATTTCATAGAGGTATAGGGAAAGGTTCCTTGAAACCACACGCAAATATTAAAAGACTAATGAATCTCCATTAAAATTAATAACTTCTATTCATCAAAAGATAACGTAGAGCAAGTGAAAATATAAACTTTAAACCTATAGAAGATACTTGTAAAAGTATCTGGCAAATATATGAATAGTACCGGCAAATATATGAATAGGCATGTCCCATAAAACAGAAGTGGTTAATAATCACATAAAAAACTGTGCACCCTTATCAGTAATCAAAGAAATGCAAAGTAATATCATACACTGAGATACCATTTATCCCCACCCAACTGGCAAAAATCTTAAAAAGTCTAACCAGGAGTTGGCAAGAATTTGGAACAGTGTAATGGAACTCAAATACTGCTTATGGGAGTAAATTGGTACAACCACACTGGAAATTATTTTGTACAGTCAACCTGGATATGCTCTGTGACTCAGCTGTTTTACTCTGTGTGTGTGATGAGAGAGCGTTTGCAGGAACTATGCATAAGATTTTATGCTATTTCATAGCAAAAATTAGGAAACCATCTAAATATCCAATAATAGAATGGGTACATAAATTGTGGCTGTTTTTATACAATGTGATAATATTCATTTGTAACAATTGAGTGAATTATCACTTTAGCATGAACAAATATTAGAAAAAGTTGCAACAATACATAAAAGTAAATTTTATGGGCATATATACATATATGTTAAAATCATAAAAATAAGCAGAAGATTGAATCTGATAATTGCCTCTGAGAAGAAGCAGGGGTATGGAATCAGGACAGAGGGCCTTTCAACAGTATGGATAGTATTTTCTCTTATTAAATTGGGTATTGGACTTAATGTGTCCAGTTACTTATTATGCTTCATAATTTCTATCTCACATGTTTTTTTTGTATCCTTCATAATAAATTTTTTTAAAACAACAATTTATAAGGAAATTTATTAGAGTGTTTTTCTACTAGAATTACCATCTTGCAAATAATATGAGAAGTGATGTTATCATATTAGTGACAAAAACCACAAAATACTTAGTAAACTTAACAGGAAAGACCAAGATCCACATTTAAAAAAATCATCTTGAGAGCTGAACAATATCTGAATAAATAGAAAATACACTGTGTTCTTAGAAGACAAAGACAATTAATATTAAATTTCAGTTCTTCCAAAATCACATACAAACTTTATGTAATTCAAATTAGAATCTTTCTAGATCTTCATGGAATTGGACGAAATCTGAAAATTTACATGGAAGAAATCAGTTGCTTATAAAGAGGGTGCTTGTCTTATGAGGCATTCAAATACAATCTAAAGCCATTGTAATCAAAACTTGATATCAAGTAAGGGGAAGGACAGTAATATTAGCAAACAGGATATAGAGCCCAGAAATAGCTGCTTGTGCTAGTTAACTACTAAAACAGTCAACTCCATATCTGGAAAAAATTAAATTGGACTATTTTAAACCATTTCAAAAGTAATTCCAGGTGGATTAAAGACTTTGAGAAAAATTAAGCCATAATATATAGTGTATGGCATTTTTATGGCAGCTACAAAAGAGACTTAGAGTATGGCATAAGATACAAAAATATGAGAAGTCAAATAATGTAGGCTAGAAAATAATGTAAAACCAGATAAAGGATTAGTATGTATAATGCACAAAGTTCTTAGGTTTGTCTTAATAATTTCTACTTGTAAAATGGGCAAAAGGTATGAATGGATAAAGTATATGAATAGGCAGTGTATATAAGAGTAGATCCAAAAGACCAATAAACTTTTAGAAAGATGCTCAGGCTTACCAGTAGAGAAATGAAAGAGATCTGCAAAAACAAACATCACTAAAAATGTGTGTAAAAAAGTTGCAAATAATATCAATACATAGTATAATAAATACGCCAAAAATTCAACATCCCTTTATGATAAAAACTCAACAGCAAAGTGGGTATAGAGGGAGCATACATCAACATAATAAAGGCCATATGTGACAGATCCATAGCTAACATACTCAGTGATGGAGTACAAAGCATTGAATGTCCTCACCACAGCAATCAGACAAGAAAAAGAAATAAAAGGTATCTAATTAGTAAGGAAGTAATGATATTATATATAGAAAACATTAAAGACTTCACCAAAAAACTACTGAATTCATTAAAATTGTAGGTACAAAATTAATATACAAAAATCTATTGTATCACTATATACTAATAATGAACAAAGAAATGAGAAAACAATCTCATCTAAAATTGCACCAAAAAGAATAAAATACTTAGGAATAAATATAACCAAGGAGGTGAAAGACCTGTACTTTGAAAAGTATAAGACATTGATGAAAGAAATCAAAAATGACACAAATAAATGGTAAAATACACGATGCTTGTGGATTGGAAAAACACTGTAAAATGTCCATACACTCAGAGCAATCTATAGAGTCAATGCAATCTGTAGATTCAAAATGCCAGCATTTTTCACAGAACTAGAACAAATAATCCTAAAATTTATATGGAACCACTAAAGACCCCAAATAGCCAAAGTGGTCTTAAGAATGAAGAACAAAGCTGTAGGTATCACGCTCTCAAGACTTCAAACTATACAACAAAGTTACAGTAATTAAAACAGTATAGTACTGGCACAAAAATGAACACACAGGTCAATGGAACAGAATAGTGCAGAGGTAAATCACACTTATGTAGTCATTTAATCTATAAAAAAGACAAGGATATAAAATGGGAAGAAAATCTCTTCAGTAGTGTCACTGGGAAAACTGGACAGCTATGTGCAAAAGAGTGAAATCTGACTGCTTTCTCACAGCATATACAAAAGTAAACTCAAAATGGATTGAGGATCTAAATATGAAATCTGAAACTGTAAGACTCCTAAAAGAAAACTATAGGCAGTAAACTCTTGGACGTCAGTCTTAGCAGAGTTTTTTTGTTGTTGTTGTTTTTTAATCTGGCCTCTCAGGCAAGGACAGCAAAAGTGGGGGGAAACCCATTGGGACTTCAACAAACTAAAGTTTTTGCACAAAGAAGGAAAAGCATCAACAAATGGAAAGGCAAGCTACTAGATGGGAGAAGACATGTACAAATAATATAGCCAATAAGGGTTTAATAATCCAAAATATATAAAGAACTCATACAACTCACCACACAAAAAAATCCACTTAAAAAATGGGCAGAGGGCCTGCAAAGACAGTTCCAAAGAAACCAGGTAGCCAACAGAGACATGAGAAGATGCTCAACATCACTAATCAGCAGAGAACTGCAAATCAAAACCACAATTAGATGCACCTCACCTGTCAGAGTGGCTAGTATCAGACAAGAAATAACAAGTGTTTGTGAGGATGTGGAGAAAAGAGAGTCCTTATGCACTGTTGGTGGTAATGTAAATTGGTGCAGCCACTATTGAAAGCAGTATGGAGATTGCTCAGAAAATAAAAATAGAAATATCATACAATCCAGCAATTCCACTGTGGGTATTTTCCAAAGAAAACAAAAACATGAATTCAAAAAGATATGTGCACCTCCATATTTACTGCAGCATTAATTACAGTAGCCAAGATACACAAGCAACCTAAGTGTCCTCTGATAAATGAATAAGATGTGGTATATATACACAGTGGAGTATTATTCAGCCATAAAAAATGAAATCTTGAATTTGACAACCTGTGTGGACCTAGAGCCATATTATGCTAAGTTAAAATATGTCAGAGAAAGACATACAATATGATTTCATTTACAGGGGAATCTAAAAAATAGAACAGACTCATAAAAATCGAGAAAAAACTGGTGGTTGGGCAGATGGGCAAAATAGGTGAAGGGAATTAAGTACAAACTGCTAGTTACTAAATAAGTCACAGGGATGTAAAGTGCAGCATAGGGAATATAGTTAATAATGGTAGTAACTTTGTATAGGGACAGATGGTAACATTTTGTGATAAATATAAATGTCAAATCACTATGTGGTACACCTGAAACTAATATAATATTGTGTAGCAATTACAATAAAAAATATTCAAAATATCACTTTATAACTTCTATATGTACATAATACTTGTATGTGACTTCTTCAAAATATCCTTAGAGGACGTACAAAACACTGTCAACTGTTTATAATTAAAAGTCAGTGAATAAAATTCAAAGAGTCTATGCCTTAAGTTAACCAGAGGACCCATAAATATCACTCATTGGTATTTATTCAAGAAAAGACAAACGTTCACAAAGAGAATGGCACAAGAACATGAATAGCAGCTAAAACTATAAAGAGCCCACGAGAATTAATCAGTAAATGGGCGTACTCATAGAGTGGAATTCACTCAACAGTATAAAGGAACAAGCTGCTGTGCAGCAACAGAGGTGAGCCTTGAAAATATACTGAGTAAAAGGAGGCCAGATGCAGGAATACACATATGACTCTGCTGTATGAAGTTCTAGAATAGAAAAAACTTCTGTGGTGATAAAAATCAGAACAGTGGTTGCTTGGGGCGAGGACTGATCAGGAATAGGCATGGGGAAACATCCTGGGGCAATAAAAATGTTCCATCTTGATAGGTATGTAGGTTATATGTTATTTACCAAAACTGATTGCATTCTACACTTGAGATCTGTGAATTTGCTGTATACAGATCTTAGTTTTTTAAACAAGGGGGAATAAAAGGTAACCAGGGAAAATTACTAAAGTGCATTTACCATTTAAAGAATGTAAACTTATCTAACACTGACTTTTAATACTTATATTTAGAGAAGCTGCTCGAGAATGTCGCAGAAAGAAGAAAGAATATGTGAAATGCCTGGAAAATCGAGTTGCTGTCCTGGAAAATCAAAATAAGACTCTAATCGAAGAGTTAAAAACTTTGAAAGATCTTTATTCCCATAAAAGTGTTTGATTCTTCAGAAAGAAAATATTTTTGTGGACTTGCCTAAAAATTAGATGGATTTTTTTTCTTTTTAGTGGAGTTTTATAAGTTAAAAGGTCAAAAATGAAGCCTTTTATTTAGGCTTTTGCAACTGAAAGATAACTATCTTATGCAAGAGATCTGGTGACAGAGGATCAAGTGGAGAATGACCTCAAGGAAGTTACTGGCACAACCGGAAGCTCTGTAAACTTAAACAACACAAACTCAGGAAACAGGAAATGAACTCGCACATTTAAAATTTCCAAATAACAATAGCTGTCAATAATCCAAAAATAGATAAGATGAAATTTGGTTAATTGAATTTTTAAAAATAAATCAGTTTACCCTATAGGTTTGCATTTCTTACTGTTTCCTAAAATCTACCTTTTCAGTTGTGTATTTTATTTCTGCAACAAATCCTAAATAACAAAATAAAAGCTAAAACAACTATATAAATTATGTGTTCTGATTATGTATACTTGTTCTATTGTCAGGTCTTTTAAATTGGTTTTTAAAAGTTTGTTTATTGGGCTTGAGAGGGTTTTGAGACTCGGTCAACTATTTTTGAGGCCTTGCCCTACAAGGCATCTAAGGTACCTGAATGAAGTGTGGTGACTTGGTAATATTTTTTTTATCAGAATGGAAATAAAATGTTTAAAACTACAGCCCTTTTAAACAGTTTGTTTTCTGGTTACTCTGGGAATGATGATTTTTTACAAATATATAAGAAATTGTTTTTTGATTCTATATTCTGTATGCATTTGAATATACATTACTTATTCTGTTGTGCTTTAATAGAATGTTTACAGGCCCTTGAGATAATATTAGAGTATTTTTTAAAACCTGAAGATGCATACCAAAGTTTTCCAAGAGGATTTTAATCAATTTAATGTAAGGTTTATCAATTTAATGTAAGATTCTAAAATAGTACAGTTATTTAAGGCAATTTTACGTTAGAGACTATTTTGTAATGCAGTGAATGGTACATTTATAAGAAAGTGACTGCCAATATATTTTTATAGCTAATCTTTATAAATTCTAAAGTTGAGTTTTTAATGATTAAATTTTTATATAGTGTGTTTAGTAAAAAAAATATTTTGCATCTCAAATGTATCATTTTTATATATAACGGGAAGTTCCCAGATTGGCTAATATTTGAATTGTAAGTTTCATATGCAGTTTATCCAAAATTCAAAAATGCTGTCAGTACACCAGTGTTGAACCTCTGTATTCCAATTTGTATACACTTTGAAATTGTACTGCAAAACTATTGTGTGCTTAATGTATTGTTGTCTATGAAATTAAAGAACATCTGATAACATTAAGTTTGCTGGATGTAAAATTATGTTGCTTGATACATGAAAGACAAGCTTCCTGATAGCCATTCTATTAATTATGCTAATTACAGTGTATTTATGATTTTAAAATGAGGATGAATTTACAATTTTGGTCTATACAGTCTCTCAAGAGGAGACATGTTTATTTGTTTTGATTCAGTCAGAATCAATTATATATAACAAACTAAAGTTTTTGTTTAGGACATGGTTAAGGCTCATGTTATATGAAAATCTTAACCCAATTGGTAAACTTGTAATTAATCTTAATGAAAAATTTCATTAACAGGATTTTTTTAAATGGGACTCTGCTGACATGACAGCAGTTTATGAAAAGAAAGAAAGGTTAATCACCAGAATGGGATTACTTATATTACTTAATTGTGTAAAAAGCCAGAGTCTCAAACTATTGGCCCATTAGGCCTGAAAAATATGAGGAGGTGTGGGTCATATGTATCAAGAGCATTTTGAAGGTAATACTGGGTAGATGTTATGGTTGGCTTCAGTAGAGAAAGTCAAGCTCTTAATGCTTTAACAGCTGGACACACAAATACTTGTAAACTCTCCACTGCTGGTGTAGTGTCTTGCTCTCACTAGTCCAAATTACCTACTGTAGTGTGTATAACAGGCATGGACAAGCCACTGATGATTCCATAAATACATACGAAATTATCTTCCTAGGTGTTTTCCTTATTTGAATCCAATGTGGAGCTTATGACATTTTAAAGGTGATTATAGCCCAAATCTGAAATTAGACTTCAAAAGTTCAATAGACCATAAAAGTTACTTTCTTAGCTCAATTTGCTGTTTTACATAAACTTACTAATTTATACATTATATTGATGGAAGTACATTATAGCCCATAAACAGACCTGGAGCATATAAAATAAGATGGTTATTATTTTGAAGGGCAGGCATGTGTTAGAGCTTTGGAAATCTTACTACATGATTATTGATTCAGCAGTTATATCAAAGTTACTGGTTAAATCTTTGTTTTTCTCTTAACATAAGTGGACATAGAAAGGATATAAAATTACATATTATGGCTTGGGATTACATAGTTACCATAATGACAGTTCATCTTCCCAGGAAAGATGCTATAATTGATAAAAAGTGAGGGAAATTGGACTTGAGGGCTTAGTAGCTAATTAAAAGGAAAGGTCACGGGTTATACAAAATAATGTCAAAGTTTATAAAAATCTTACTGCAGTTATCATACATTTACTCTGCTATACAAAATAAGTTTTTCCTTTTGATACTGCTTGTTTTTACTATAAAATTTTCAAGATTGTACAATTCAGAAGCCTGCTCTAGAGAGACTTTGGCAGGAATCTTTGAGGGACAGTCATTTGGAGGGAGTTTTAGCCATGTAATGCTTTTTTAGAAAAGAGAGAGGTTCTGAAACTATAACATTTTACCAGTGTAAGTTTCTTTGCAGCAAATGGATAAGCACTAGAGACTAAGTCCTTGCTATTTCATGGTTGAGATGCATTTGCCCAAAATTGACAGGATATATGTAGTACAGTTCGCTGCCTTCAGTAAGTATATATAATAGTTTTTAACTGGTAAGTTATGTAAATACCAATTTACATTGCTAATAAATCCAGGTTACCTATTTACATAATCTACACAGTCATACTATTTCCTTAATAGTTTGACTATTAGGTAGATAGTCAAATAATAAGTAGATACTATTTATTGCTATGTATATGCACCAGAAACTATTAAGAGTAATTGCATTCATTTCACTCAGCAAATATCAATTGAAGGTCTTTTAATGCCAAGCATTCCTAGGAAAAAAGCAATGAACAAGGTAGTGTTACAGCTTTTGTGGCACTTAGATATTAATGTCATTCTGTGATACTTGTCAATCTTGTCTAAGATTATGAGTATTAATAACTAGGGGTCTGGGATTTTAACCCAATCTCTAATCATTCAATCTAAAATTGTAGTCTCTCCCCACCCCACAACACACCTTTATTAAATCGAGGGGGAGACTGTTTTGTGCTCTTCTGTATCCCCCCAGTTTAGGGCAGTGCTTACCTGGCTCCCTAGAGTGTGCCATGCTTGTCAAATGAATGAGGGTCTGGGATTCAAACTCACCAAGGCACAAAGAGTTGATACTTTGCCTAAGGTAACACTGTAAATAAAAAAACTAGGGTTCAGACCTAGGTCTGATCAACTCCGAAATCTGTGGCCTTAACCACCAGAATGTACCTTTCTTACCATGTGTTGAAGAGTCTGAAAAGCTTTATTCCCTCATCTTTATGCACCTGTATCGATTTTTAAATTATTTAGATGTGTCCACCAGGTGGCGACTTCCATTTTAAAATCAGTTTTACAACCTTTTAAAAATACACAGAAAACTCACATTAATCTATCAAATCCTTGTAACCTACCATCTAGAATTCAAAACTGTTAACTTTTTATCTTAAGATCATTTTCTGAAGAAAAATGCAGAAATATAAAAATTCAAAATACTAGGTTTTTAATATACCTCTCATAATTGACAGAAAAGGAAAATAATCAAGACAGATTTGAATGATTAAAAATCTTGACCTGATTTATTGAATTTCATCAACTGTAAGTTACCACTGATAAGGCACACTATTACCTTAAAAACCACTAAAAGAAAAAAACACTGCCAGGTAAACTATGACATCTCACTGATGGCCAGAGGCTTACTGATTTTACCGATGTTTGTGAAAAATGTGCATCTTATAACCAATGAAATTTGATGTACAATACAGACTTAGAAATAGTTCTTTTCAAACGAGTGTTTATAAAAACAGAACCATATACTGGGTAATAGATTAAGTCTCAACAAATTTTCAAAGGATTGGCTTCATACAGACTGTTGCATTGATCTCTGGGTGTCTGTCCTTTTCACCAATTCTACACTGTCTTGATTACTGTAGTTTTATACCTAAGTCTTGAAATCAGGTAGTATGAATTCTTCCAAGTGTAATTTTTTTGAGTTTTTCCCCCCAAATTGTTTTGGTTATTCTAGTTCCTTTGGCTTTCTATAAGGACTTTACAATCAGCTTGTCTTTATCTACCAAAAAAAAAAAAGATTCTGCTGAAATTTTGATTGGGGTTGTGTTATACCAACGTATAGATCAATTGGGGAAAAACTATCATCTTAACAGTAGTGAAGCTTCTAATCCATAAACACAATATATCTCATTTAGGTCTTTAAAAATTTTTTTCAGTGTTTTGTCATTTTCATAATAGTGACCACGCATGTGTGTTGTTAGAATTATACTTCATTACCACAGGCATACCTTGTTTTATTGCACTTTACTTTATTGCACTTTGCAGATATTTTTTTTTTTATTGAAGTTTTGTGGCAACCCTGTGCTGAGCAAGGCTGTCAGCACCATTTTTCCAACAGCATTTCCTCATTTCATGTCTCCAACACATTTTGGTAATTTTCATATTTCAAGCTTTTTCATTATTATATTTGTACAGTGATCTGTGACAAGTGATTATGATTTGCTGAAAGCTCAGGAGGTGATTAGCATTTTTTAGCAAGATGTTATTTTTAAATGAAGTATGTACATTTTAAAAAGATGTTATTGCACTATATCTAATAGAATACAGGATAGTGTAAATACAGCTTCTCTATGCACTGGGAAACCAGAGAATTCATCTGACTCACTTTACTGTAACATGTGCTTTACTACAGTGGTCTGGAACCAGATCTACAATATCTCCGATGTATGTCAGTATTCCTTTTCCTTTTTTGTTACAACTATTTGAAATATTTAAACTTCAGTTTTCAGTTGTTTCGGGCTAGTAAATAGAAGGAGGCCTGTGTTCTGCAACCTTACTAAATTCACTTACTAATTCTAGGAGTTTTTGGTAGATTTTAGGGGGTTTTCTACTAGATAATGTCATTTTTGAATATAGGCAGTTTTATCTTTCTTTAAAATCTGTATGCCTTTACAATGACAATAAAAAGTCTAGAAGAGTTTCAAAAAAAAAACAAAACTCAACCTGTTGTTTTCCAGTGAATAATATATTGTTTTATATGTTTCTGAGGATACTAAATGTAGCTTGGGGAAATTATGAAGAGTTCTTCTAATATATTCTCTGAATTATTAAAAAAAAATCTGTATGCCTTTAATGTATCTTGCTCTATTGTACTGCCCATGCTTTCTACTATAATGTTAAACAGGATTGGTAAGAATGGGATTTCTTAATTTGTTCCCAATCTTAGAAATGACTCAGTCTTTCACCATTAAATATAATATCAGCTATAGGGTTTTTAAAATAGAAGTCCTTTCTCAGTTCATGAGATCTGTAGTGATGTCCTCTTCTATTCCTAGTTCCTGAGATTTTTTTTTTTAATCAAGGATAGATGCTGACTTATCAAATGCTTTTTCTACACCCATTGGTATTATCATATGGCTTTCTTCATTACTCTCTTTATATGATAGATTTTACTAATTGATTTTCTAATGTTGAACCAGTCTTGCATTCTCAGGATAACTACCACTTAGTCATGATGTATAATCTTTTTAATATAATTCTGGACTTATTTTGCTAATATTTTATTGAAGATTTTCCTGTCTCTGTTCATGAGGGATATTGGACTGCAGATGTTTTTGTTCTTGGATGTCTTCAGGTTTTGGGTTCAGGGTAATGCTAGCCTCTAATGAGTTGCTATTAAAGAATTTTAATTAATATTTTAAGTGAGATAATGGGGTTTCAATGTTTTAAAATGTTAATATTTTTTAAATAAATTAAAAAATTTATAGATAAAATGATATAATTTTTGGTATTTACTTCAAAATAATTTTGATAATTGGGGAAAGTAGGTAGGGATATAAATATAGCAAGACTGGCCATGAAATGATAATTGTCAAAGCTATATAATGGGCACATGGATTTTATTATTCTTTTGTTGTATATATTTGACATTTTCAATACAAAAGGTTTAAAAACTAAATAAATGGCGCTAGAACTATTGGTTATTTACATAGGAA